ACAAACCCCAAACCAAAAAACCCAGGGTGAGGAAAAAGACACTGGGAACCTGAGCTCTGGGTAGGAGATCTTGAGCCTAAACCCAGCTTGGCCACAGGTTTGCTGTGGGCTGCGACCGAGGCCCCTCACCCTTTGCAGGGCGTTATCCCACATGTCCGTGGTCTCTGGCAGCAGCAAGTGTCAGACGGCGCTGGCTTGTGGGGTGGGTGGTGGTTTCTGTGTGCAGCATTTGGAACACACGTTTCTATAACACGTTTGTCATTTGATTTAGGAAAAAAGACTACGGGACCGAAAAACTGAGACAGAAGAAAGTTTACTGAAGCGTTTGACTGCAGCTCGCATAGATTTGGAACTCAGTAAGTCCAGGGGCCTTTGAGTGATGTGCGCAGGGAGAGGGGATGCGTTGGTGATTTAGGAGCTGGTTTTCGCATGAACGTCTGACGCGTGTTCTCCACGGAGCGCTGGCAGGGCTTGGACGTTAGCTGAATTTGATCTAAGCACCGTACTGCATCGTTTCCCACTGCAGTTCCTCGTGGGCGGTTGGCAGAGAAGCACGTTACCGGTGGCTGAAATAATAATATTAAAATGTGTCGTGGTTTAGCCCCAGCCAGCAACTAAGCACCAGGCAGACATCGCTCACTGCCCCTGCCCCGATGGGATGGGGGAGAGAATTGGAGGAGTAAGAGTGAGAAACACTCCTGGGCTGAGATAAGAACAGTTTAATAATGGAAATAAAGTAAAATGGTAATGATAATAATAACAGTATAGTAATGATAATAACAATACACAAAGCAAGTGATGCACAATGCAATTGCTCACCACCCGCCGACCGATACCTAGCCCGTTCCCGAGCAGCGATCGCTGCTCCCAGGCCAACCCCCGCCCCAGTTCATATACTGAGCATGATGTCATACGGTATGGAATAGCCCTTTGGGCCAGTTTGGATCAACTGTTCTGGCTGTGCCCCCTCCCAGTTCCTTGTGCCCCTGGCAGAGCATGGGAAGCTGAAAAGTCCTTGGCTGGCATGAGCAGTACTGAGCAACAACTAAACCATCAGAGTGTTATCAACATTCTTCTCATCCTAAATCCAAACCACAGCACTATGCCAGCTACTAGGAAGAAAATTATCCTAGCCGAAACCAGGACAAAATGCCACAGGAACTCAGGTCATGCACGAGAGATGACACAGGGAAGGAACGTGTTCTCCTCTAACTCCTCTTATCCTCATCTCCTTCCCTAGGTAAAGAGCCTGGCCTGTTTGACTTGGTCATTATTAATGATGATTTAGAAAAAGCCTATTCCGAATTGAAGGAGATACTCCTGGAGGTGAGTCTTTTGGGGCTTTTCTGCCTCGCTCCCTGGGCAGGCGTGACACCTAGGCTGAGCAGGTGAGGGCCTGTCACTAGGCAGCCACAGAAGCGTGACCACATGCCCACGCTTGATCTGTTTTGAGCTGCTGAGTGACACGGTCGAGCGCAGATCACGTATGAGTGATGACGGATCGGTGGCCTAAGAGCGGGCAACGGATCCAGCGCAATACTGGGTTATGGGCAAAATAAACGTACATCCCTGGACAGTATGGAAGGAAACAGTGCACTGTTTTTGAAGAGCCTCCAAGTCAAACCTTGCCTTGTCCCTAAAGGCTCGTGCGTAAACTCTGGGCTTGGTCCTGCGGTGCTGTGGAGCTGCTCTGAGGAGATGATCGCTCATGGTCTCCAGAGCCGTGACGCTATGAGTTGTTCCCAAAGAGTGGGAGATGCTCAGTTGTTTTCCTCATCTCCTTGCAGGAAATCAAGAAGACCCAAGAATCCAGGAAGTCCTGACCTGAGCCTGCTTGGACGTTTTAACTTTGCACATCATTCCTGAAGCACATGGCGTGATTTTATTGCAAGAGACATTCCCTTTAGGTTGATCCTCCTCCCAAGTTACTCTAGGATGTTTCTATTAAAAGGAAAGAAAACGAAACCCGGTCACGCTTGTGTTTCTGTTCGCCACGCGCTCGCCGTGGGCTCTCCCAGGTTGGTACCTCAGGTGGAAGCTTTGGAAGCGATGGCACGGCATCTGCTGCCGAAGGGCAGAGCTGTTCTGCCAGGCTGTGGAGGAGCTGTCTGGGCAGCTGCGGCCCCAGCACGCAGCTCAGGATCCCACTGCAATATTTGTGGAGCTACATGTTGTGCCCAGCTAATGCCACGCGCAGAAGGGAGCTACTTGGGTTAATGTGACCCCACCCGCGGACAGAGGGGCTCCCATCTTTACCGGCACCTGCTGTCACAAGCGATGGCATCCTCTGCTTCATTTAGGAAAAATTTCTTCATGGAAAGGGTAGTCAAGCATTGGAACAGGCTGCCCAGAGAGGTGGTGAAGTCACCATCTCTGGAAGCGTTCAAAAAACGGGCAGAGGTGGCACTTTGGGCCATGGTTTAGTCTAGTCTACCCTTGATTGGTTTAGTGATGGACTTGGTAATGTTAGGTTAATGGTTGGACTGGATGATCTTAAAGGTCTTTTCCAACCTAAACGATTTACTATGATTCTATGATTTTTGCAGATCTGGCTGCAGCTCCTCCAGGCATTTCCCATCGTCTGTGCCTGCCACCCTCAGCCTCTGCGCTGTTTTGTTCTGTCGCTGTGGCAGAGCAGCACGTCGGCGTGGCCGCTCTAACCGCGGTCCATGGAACAGATGGGTTTGTTTCATAAACCGAGAGAAGGGTTGCAGGGTATGATCTGTCCACTGTCCCTTTTTGCTGGGGGAAAAGTACTGTGAGCTTGTCCTCCTCTCTGCCATCCTGGCAGCAATCTTGTAATTCACACGTACTTCTTGTTCCACTTGAGTTTAGGCGCGGGTAGATTTTTTTAAATGCTTTTATACCTACAAGTTGGGGGAGAAAAGATTTCCTTCCCAAGCCGCGCAGCCTTTTCGGATGACGTGCTTGAGGGCAGCAATAAATCCCTTTTCCTAGGAGGGAGCCATTTGATCTTGCCGCTCTCCCTCGTGCTGGTCTCTGGCTTGAGACGTGGAGAGCTTTGCCTGACGGGGGCTGGGAGGGTGCTTCGCGCTTCACTTCCCCAGCTTTCGTCAGCCTGAACGTTGATGCTTTCACGTAACTTCTGAGCCCCTTGGTCCCTCCAGCAGGTTGTATCCTGAGCCTCTAAACTAAAAATTCCTAACTAAAAATTCCTAGTTTTTACTTTCATTTTCCTAGTTTTTACTTTCATTTTCCTAGTTTTTACTTTCATTTTCCTAGTTTTTACTTTCATTAAAAAATAATCCAGCCACCAAGCCAGGGAACATGAAATTGCTACTCTCCCCTAAATTGGTTTAGTGGTGGACTTGATAGTTGTTAGGTTAATGGTTGGACTGGATGATCTTAAAGGTCTTTTCCAACCTAAACGATTCTATGATTCTATTCTGTGAAAAACAGCAGAGAAACAATCTCCTCAGAGGGGCTGGTTCCTCACTGAGCCCCTCTACTCATCCTTCACCAGAGGTAAGCGTGGGAGAGAGACGAGCGATGTTGCGTCTGGTACCTCCAGGCAGTTCACCCGGTTTTGGGCTGCAGGGAAGGAACAGCTGCTGCAGAGAGGCGTGCAGCACAGCCCCTCACAGGGTCGCTTGTCCCAGAGCCTGTTGTCCTGGAGGACGTGGGCAGTTTGTGTTTGATCCTTGGGAAATCATAGAATCATTTAGGTTGGAAAAGCCCTTTAAGATCATCCAGTCCAACCATTAACCTAACTCTACCAAGTCCACCACTAAACCAATTAAGGGGAGAGGAATAATTAATTTCATGTTTCCTGGCTTGGTGTCTGGATTATTTTTTAATGAAAGTAAAACTAGAACAGAGTCACTAAGGTTGGAAAGGATCTCTAAGATCATCGGTCCAACCATCAACTCAACACGCCCATGCCCACTAAATCACGTCCCGAAGTGCCACCTCTACGTGTTTTTTGAACACGAAAATGATGCGTTCATCAATGATGCTCCATTGTGATGGAGCTGGCATCATGCAGACCATGAACAGCTGGACCGTGCGATGCCAGCCTGGGATATTTTCTCACCAAACCACGTCTTCCCAGGGCACGGTTGTACCTTAAACTCAACTCTTGGCTTTCATCGTCTCCATAGGATTCTATATCCCATCTCTCCAGTTTTCCCAGCTGCTCCGCTCCAGTGCACCTGCAGTCCCTCTCAATCCAGCTCCATCCTAACTTACCAAGCTCCATCCTCCCTGTTGTGGACACCAACAAGCAGAACCAGACCTTGGGCAACCCTTTTAGTGCCTCGCTTGCATGTAGAAAGATGAGAACTGATGATTATTTTGCTCACTTGCCTCTATTTGGATGTTTTAAATACATCTTTTGTAGATGATACTGTGAAATCCCCCTTTCTGTTGTCATGAGCTTCATGTTGCGAGGGTCTAGCTTTGGTTAAACAAGCAGGAAAAAAAATGCTTCCTGGAAATTTTCTGGGGGCGTAGCTGCTTCACAGCATCTGGCTTTCCCCATCCTGCCGTCGTGAATTGCTGGGGCCAGGCTCTTCCCGCAGTGGCGAGCGACGGCCCGTGACATTTTTCTGGAATCGGTGGGGTTTCGTTGTGTTTTGCGGCGTTTGCAATGGGGAAGCGTCCCCTCTAGATGGCAGAAAGGACGGCAGGAAAGCGCAGGGGGCCTGCGCTGCGGAGCGGCGAAACGCCGAGGTGCAGGACACGGCGCTGGCCTCAGCCCGGTGGTCTCCGGCCGCTGCGTGGGAACTGCGGTGTTGTCCCCAGGTGGAAATGCCCGGCCGCTGCCTGCCCAGCGCTCCTGCCAGCGCCCCG